AATCGTACACAACAATCTTAATTATAAATAGTGAGCGATTTCTATTCGCTACTCTCCTATTTCGTACCGCTTGGTGTTTGACAGTTTAAACTGTCAAGCGGTCACCGGTGACCGCAACCTATTGTTCTATAATTGTGTCTACAAAACCGGTACTCGACGAGTTAAGAACGGAAATTCATTTTTATTTATATGGATAAGGTCTACGTACCTCTTTCTCTATACAAGCTAAAATTATATGACAAACAACCATTAAAGCATACAGACAGAAGTCCTTGCAAGTATATGTTATTATAGTACGATAGTTACGAAATAATATAACCATGGTCATAGGTAGGTAGGCAGTTACATGCCCGGCTGATGCAATACTTAGATTATCAACGTTAGGCTAGACAATGAGACTGATCTTGTATTGATATTGAAAGTACGAGGTTCGATGCTTGGTTTGAGCAAAGAATTTTGGTAGTGGAATATTAAATTAGGTGGAAATGTGTTTTTTTTTTAATAATATGAGACGGTATTGGAGTAATGACCCACGGCTATCAACTTCTGGACAGCTGGGACGCGCTAGACTTCATTGTTTCGTTGTTTTCGTAGTCTGCGATGAAGCACGTCGTCCCATAAGCAACCTATTCACTCGGGCCTTGAAGACACCCTTCAGGAAATACAGACTCTGGCAAAGAATTCCACTTCTTAGCAGTACGCACAAGGAAGCTTGACACGAAACGCTTATCAGAGAGCACTGCTGCACGGTCTCTGTCAAATATGTAGTCCCTTAGTCGGGTATATGACACCCACGGGAAGAGTAGCGGTAATGACAAATGTAATCTACATTGACATAGACTGACAGAGTTCAATTATTTTCTAGACTAGTTGTAGAATATGAATTTTAGAACATAACATTCTTTTTGTTTCAATTTTCTAAAATAAAAGTAGACTAAGTTACTCCTTACTTCCTTAGTACAATTTTACCTGCCAATAAAGATATTGCAAAATCGGTCCAGCAATTCCAGAGATAAGACAGTACAAACATGCAGACAGACAGACAAAAATTGTAAAAAATGTTATTTTGGTATGTGTATCGTGTGTATATTCATATGCATGTAGTAAAAAGCTGTTATTTAATATCACAAACAGACACTCCAATTTTATCTTTTATCCCCAAAGGGATTTTTTTTTTAAGGGGGGAAAATCATCGAGTGACTTCTCCCGCCTGGGTAAGGCGGGAGGGAGTGTCAGACTCTTACTAACTAAAAACCACCGCGTTCCTTCTCCTGCACGTCGAGCCGGAGCCCCGGTTACCCGTTAGGTTCTCCGCGACATCCCCAAAGGGATAGGCAGGGGTGTACACAGAAATAACATCCACTTTTATGTTATGAGTCTCATGTAATAGGGGGTGAGCCTATTGCCATATACCGGGCACATTTCCAGACTTCGTGCTACTACTGATACTGATACTGCCAGTAATACTTTGCCCGACCCGGGAATCAAACCCGAGACCCCTTGCCCGGTAGACGCACTTGCGACCACTCGGCCAACGAGGCAGTTCTTCTATTTCTAGAACAAACAAATAAACCAGAGATTGCTAAAAACACTTCGTTTGATATAAAATTATAAACTAAAGGAATATACCATGCACTTCAACATTACATTCAAAAACCTACGCTAACACCATACACTTACAATCTAAATTCGCTTGTAAGACAAACTGCTGTATATTGCCAAAGAAAACTAGACTTTATGGCTATAGTTTTAGTGGCGTAACAATAAAGTTAAGTCGTCAGTGGGTCAGTTAATGCAAGACTTCTAAGATAGTTGGGTATATCAAACTTATACGGAATCGTAGGGTGACTATGAATTTCGTAATTTAGAAGACATTCGTTTCCGCGTATATTTTTGTTACAAGTACGTTAAACGTTCACGATTACATAACATCACGCCTTTTTATCCCCGAACGGGTAGGCACTTAATGCCACTGTACAATGTAACACCCACTTTTCACTATTTATGTCATAAGTCCCATGTAATAGGGGGTGAGCCTATTGCCATATACCGGGCACATTTCCAGACTCCGTGCTACTACTGAGATTTTTAAAAACCCAGTAATACTTTGCCGACAGGTGGCGCTGTCTGTATAACCACCTAAAACTATAACTCTCTTCGTTAAAATTAAGTTTAAATTATTTATCAACCATTACGAGATATAGAAACGGATAAAAAGTGTGTGTTAATATACGAACTAAATGTGTTAGTGATATTTGCAAAAACTAAGTGCGTTAACGCATACAAATAAGTGTAAAATTGATAAACCTACTTGAGTCATCATAAATACCAAAAGTAAATACAAAATCCTTACGAACATTTAAAATAATTTCAACAGTGGAACAAAGTACCTACCTATCTAATTAAATGGAGATGCGCTGAACTACCTAGATAGCAAAGAATTCTTGTTTTAATTATAGTGCAAGTGAAACAGTATTGTGTGTTGACTTGGGTGCAAATATTTTAATGATATGTACTGTCTACCTACACATTACTTTATGAAGGGAGCCATTGCACTGAGAACCACAATTTCGACTCGTTATTGAACACACTTCGTGGCTCGTTGGTTTTCTGTACGGATCGCAGATCGTTAAAAGGTCCCCGAGTTCGATTCCAGCTAGAGGGTTGTCCTTTTGTGGTTTCTTTACTTGTAGAAATACTAACAATTTGACAGTTTGATTATTATCATTCAGACATTCAACGTCAACTCGACAGACAGACGACAACTAGACTGAACTGTCAGTAGGTCAGACGGACAACTATCTGAGTGTTGCCACTACAAACAAATATTTTCTACCAACTCGCATTTACGTTCCGTTTCACACAAGTTCATTTGTCAACATGGAAGAACAATTTCAATTATTATTCGATAAAATGAAAATAGAAATACAAAAACAGTCAAATGATCTCAAAGAATCGCTTACGAAAAATATAATGGATCGGATGGATGAAAAACTTAATCCTATGATTGAAGAAAATAGAATATTAAAACAAAAAATCAGTAACCTGGAGAACGAAATTGAATATTTAAAAAAGGAGAAGAGAAGTAACAATATAGTTATTTATGGATTGGAGGAGAGTGAAAAATCGACATCAGAGCTGTTTCAAAATGTTAAAGATATTTTTAAAAGAGATTTAGATTTATCTGTGGAACAAAATGAAATGAACAGATTGTACCGTTTGGGAAAAAGAAATGAGAACAAACATAGACCTGTTTTATTCTCATTTACAAACGGATGGAAAAAAGATGAAATCGTAAAGAATAAAAAAAGTCTTAAGGGAATCTTTATAGCAGAAGACTATTCTAAGGAAGTAATAGAGAAGAGAAAGGCTCTGCTACCACAGCTACTAGAGGAGAAGAAAAAAGGAAATATTACTTTTATGAAATACGATAAACTGATAGTTAAAGGACCAAACACCGACAAAAGGAAAAGAGAACTATCCAGTTCACCACAATCATCGTCAACTAACAATCCTAAGAAACAACAAACGATAAGTTCTATCAAAACTAACAGAACAAACGCCTTCGATTTGATGAGAACCCGATCAAACTCGCTCTCTGGCGGCTCTAGTCATAATAAACTATAGCAATCGACAACCGGCAAACGGACAAGCCAACCAAATCACGAAAACCAAACAATAGAAACAACACAATCTCCCCCAAGCCGACTGGTCCTCGTGGGGGATAGCGACCGTAACCCTCCAACAACACAGAAAAAATATCATGAAAACATCCAAAGAAAATCAAAGATATATATTGCAGCCCTCAATGTGCTTACACTGAAAAATGATGAAAACCTTGCAGAATTATCATATGCGTTAAAGCAGATTAAATGGGACATTGTTGGCCTGAGTGAAGTAAGGCGAATGGGGGAAAGAATTATTTCCCATCCAGACTTCCTCCTTTACCATATCGGAACAACCCCAGGTCAATACGGAGTTGGTTTCATTATCAAAAAGCATCTTACAAATTATGTGGAGAGCTTCATAGGAGTATCAGAGCGCATAGCAGTGATGAATATAAAGCTACCGGGGTTCAAAGATCCATGGTCTATCATACAAGTTTACTCGTTTACGGAACAATCTGAAATAAGATCAGTAGACTCTTTCTACCAAGATGTAAATAAAGCAATCCGAGATCATGCTTACAAAAACCTTATTGTACTGGGAGACTTCAATGGTCAAATTGGAGAACGACAGCCAGAAGAAGACTCAGTCTTGGGACCATTTATTTATAGAAAAAAGACAAGAAGCAGAAACGGAGAGAAGCTTGTAAACTTTGCACAGGAAAATGGCTTGAAAATCTTAAACACAATGTTCAAGAAGAAAGAAAGTAAAATGTGGACTTGGTTATCACCAGACGGGACAATAAAAAACGAAATAGACTTCATAATGACTAACAAAAGCAGATACTTCTCAAACATGAAAGTCATAAATAATTTCAATTTCAATACCAACCATCGAATGATTCGTGCAGAATTGTTGGCCTTCCCACCGAAAAATCCAAGACCAAGAAACAAAGTGATGAACACAAAGCCGACCAAATACCAAACAACCGAAATAGTCAATCTAATTAAGCCAAAACTCATGGAATACAATAAAGTACTAACTAACATGCAGGTGCAAGAAAAATACAACTGGTTAGAAGGAATAATCAAAACACCTATTGAACAAGGGACTTTTAACAAGAATGTATCTAACAAGTGGATATCTGCTAAAACCGTTAACCTTCTTAATCAAAGAGCTGACCTAATCAATGGCAAAAATACCAAAGACAGGCGAAAACAAATAGCAAAACTCAGCAAAGAAATAAAAGAAAGTATTAGAAAAGATAGAACTCACAGAAGAATGGAAACAATAGAAAAACACATTCTACAAACGGGAGGAATAAAAAAGGCATATAAGGAGTTAAATGAAAGAAAAAAAGATTGGATTATACGGATGACAGATGGTAAAGGATCGAAGGAGAGCCGAAGGCAAGGAATACTACAAATCGCTACAACTTGCTACAAAAAACTATACGAAAATACTAAAATGGGAAAAGAAATAGAATTGTTAGAAACTTCCCCAGTACCGAGTATCATGCAGGAGGAAATAGAATTCGCTCTGGAAACCCAAAGAGATGATAAAGCCCCAGGACCAGACGGAATAAGCAACGAAGTATTAAAACAAGCGAAACAGAGTATAACACCTATTCTCAGAGAAATTTTCAATGATATCATCAATTCAGAAACGATTCCACAGCAATGGACTAAATCAAATATAATCCTTTTGTACAAAAAAGGAGATCAATACGATATCGGAAACTACCGACCCATAAGTCTGATGTCCAACCTGTACAAAATATTTGCAAAGATCCTACTCAAGCGAATAGAGAAAAAACTCGAAGAACAACAGCCAATAGAACAGGCGGGATTTAGGAAAGATTATTCAGTGCTTGATCATATCCATGCTGTTAGGCAAATCATCGAGAAATACGGAGAATATCAACTCACATACTATCTGGCATTTGTCGATTATAGCAAGGCATTCGACTCGTTAATACATATACATATCTGGGAGGCCTTAAGAGAACAAGGAATCGAGCAAAAATATATAAGATTAATAAGAAATGTATATAAAAATAGCTCGGCATGCATTCTGTTAGAAAAGAAAGGAGAACCATTTAAGATACAAAAAGGAGTAAGGCAAGGAGACCCTCTCTCTCCAAAACTTTTCTCCGCCGTTCTAGAGATGGTCTTCAGAAAGTTCAAATGGGAAAACTTGGGATTAAATATCGACGGCCGCACATTATCACACTTAAGATTTGCCGATGATATTGTGTTATTTGCAAAATCGTCAGAAGACCTAAACATAATGTTAAACGAACTAGCATTTGAGAGCGAGAAAGTGGGACTAAAATTAAATCCCGAGAAAACAAAAGTAATGACTAATGGAAATAAAAGCAGCATTAAAGTGGGCGACACACAGATTAACTATGTTGAAGAATATGTATACCTCGGACAGGTGATATCACCCAAGGATAACATAAATAAAGAAATCGAAAGAAGGATAGCAAACAGTTGGAAAAGATATTGGAGCCTAAAGGAAGTAATGAAAGACAAAAACCTCCATATCGCAACAAAGAGTAAACTGTATAACATCTGCATTCTTCCAATTTTAATATATGGTAGCCAAACATGGGCTTTAACAAAAAACAGTACCGATAGAGTTACAGTCTGTCAACGAGCGATGGAGAGGAGCATGCTGGGAGCAAAGAGGAGTGATAGAATAAGAAACAACAACATTCGTAAAAAGACCAAGATACAGGATGTAACCTTAAAAATAAAAAGGCTAAAATGGAAGTGGTCGGGACACATGATCAGAGGAAAGGAAAAATGGAACAAAATATTAACGCAATGGTACCCAAGAGAAGGTAATAGGAAAAGAGGAAGACAGCAAAAAAGATGGGACGATGATATTAGGCAGGTCGCTGGAAAAACATGGAGTAGAATAGCCAGAGAGAGATCAGAATGGAGTAGGTTGGAGGAGGCCTTTGCCAACTGGCAAACGGATTTACAAAAAGTGAAGAAGCACCAAATACGCGAAAAATTTTAATTAAATAAAAATGTTCTAGTTCACGTAATGTAAGAAAGTATTTTTTTGTTTTTGTTTTTGTTATCCGAATAAAAGGCTTATTATTTATATTATTATTATTT